CTACGTAGGGAAAACCTGGCTAGAAGAAAAAAACATACATATATTCTTTATAACATTTCCATCTTCCCTTAAAATATTAATAGAATCCACAATGGTCTGAGTATCAGCATCTCCAAGTTAATGAAATTTGCAAAGTTTCTCAAACCTCGAAATAAGTTACGCAGACCTAATTCACACATCCAAAGATAAAGTCTCAAAACACAAACAGAATTAATTAAATTAAATCTCCCAGGAGAACTGTATGTTCACAAGAATATACACGCACTCACACAAATACACACAAATGCACACACCCACACCAGTGATGGGTTGCCCCCGGTTCGCACCTGTTCTATAGAACCGGTAGTAAAACCGGCGGGAGGCTCCGTCCACTGACCCTGACATCATCAAAACGCTTCTGTGCTTGCACAGAAGAATGTGCGTGCGCACTTGCTTCGCGCGCGGCCCCATTGTAAACCGGTAGTAAAGATAAGTAGAACCCACCCCTGACACACACATGCCCCTCAGCCAGTAAACACTTCCACACACCGGACAAGCTCCCCCTCTAAGAGTCTACCACTGTACCCCATTTCTCTGCCGCCTGCCCCTTAAAGCAAACTATTTTGCTTTTAGGAATACATATTTCTTCTTTCCTCACAGCTGCCTGGATCTCATTTTTATTCATTCTTGTGCAACAGCCGCTTGAGTTGGAATCCCAAATTATTCCTCTGACAGATGCTAGAAGATTTTCATATTAGTCTGGTGTTCCTCCGCCAATACAAATAGTCCTTGACGTACAACTATTCATGTAGCAATTGTTCAAAATTACAATGGCTCTGGAAAAAAAAAAGAGATGCACAACTATTACTCGTGCTTACAACTGTTGCAGCATCCCCATGGTCACCTGATTAAAATTCGGGCACTGGGCAACTGGCATGAATGTACCATGGTCCCAAAGTTACATGTTCTCCATTTGGAGCCAGCTTCCAGCAAGCAAAATCAATGGGGGAAGCCAGATTTTCTTAACAATCATTTGATTCACCTACACAACTGCAGTGATTCATTTAACAACCTCAGCATTTCGGTAGTAAAATCAGGCACAATTCACTTAACAACCGCCTCGCTCAGCAACAGAAATTCTGGTCTCCGCTATTCTATTCTATTCTATTCTATTCTATTCTATTCTATTCTATTCTTTCTATTCTATTCTATTCAGTGGTGAGATTCAAATAATTTAACAACCGGTTCTCTGCCCTAATGATTTCTTCCAACAACCAGTTCACCAAACTGCTCAGAAAGTTAACAACCAATTCTCTCGAAGTGGTGCAAACTGGCTGAATCTCACCACTGATTCTATTCTATTCATTATTTGAATTTTTTGATTTTGTCCAGTTCTTTCTCTTCTATTCTCCTGTTTCCAGACACTGGCAGGTTCACTATCCAGACTTTTTTCTTTCTTACTGACAATCGTTCAGTTTGGGATGTTCTGTGGCAGGTGTTTATCTACTTAATCCATCAGAATAGATCTGATCTAATCTCTAATAACAACTAATTTATCTAGGAGCTGAATCATCCCGTAATGCATCCTCTCTCTGGAAAAAAAAAAAAAAAACCTTGCAAACTAACTTTGCAAAGAGCCTTGATGGTGCAGCGGACTAAAGTGCTGTTAAAGTAGCACTTAGCTGCCAGCTGCCTGCAATTACTGCGAGTTCAAATCTCACCAGGCTCAAGGTTGACTCAGCCTTCCATCCTTCCGAGGTAGGTAAAATGAGGACCCGGATTGTGGGGGCGATAAGCTGACTTTGTATAAAAAAGAACACCGCTTGGGGGGGGGGGGCGAAAAGCCCTACTAAGCAGGAATATACAAAAGTATGAAAGGCTATTGCTTAAAAGCATTGTAAGCCGCCCTGAGTCTCTGGAGAAAGGGCGCCATATAAATCGAACCAATAAATAACCAATAAATAAATAACCATATGTGCAAATTGCAGCGTCTACCACCTGACTTGGACAAAGTGATCACGGCTTACGAAATGGTAAGGAGGAACACATTCATACTCGTTAAGCCACAAGCGATGCAGGTCGTAAAAACGCCACCAGTGTTAAAAGATTTTATTTTATTTTTTTATTGAAATTAAGGCAATAGATTCCGTTTCCTGAGGTAGAAAGAGAGCGCCTTTGGGGCGGGGGTGAGGGTTCTTATTTCTTAGCTTTCTACAGTTTTCCCGCGATCCCAACTCAAAACGGCCGTAAGCCGCTCTGCCTCCAGACAGATTGCGAGGACAAGATTTTGGAGACCCACTTGGGACAGTCGGTCAAGGTCAGCAAACGATTCCTGGGCGCCAAGTCTTTGCCAAAGAGCAAGAACAAGGCGTTCGAAAACGCCAGGCCGATGATCACGGCCACCAGCACCCACGTCCCTCTGGATAGGAGGAAGAAGAAGCTCTTGTGAAGGCCTCGGGAGTCCTGGGTCAACTTGGCCTGCACCAACTCTTGGAGCAGAGAAGGACCCTCCTGGCCGTAGTCCGTCTCCAACCTGCTGAAGGGGGACTGTGCCAGCTGCTCTTCCAAAGACAGGACTTGGTTTTCCAGCGCCTTGCAGATCTCTTCGAGCTCCGCCACCGTGTGCGACAGCTCGGCGCACTGCTTCTTCTCGGCCTCGTATTGGCGCCTGGCGGTTTCGATTTTCGCCTCCAGCTGTTTGAAGTAGCCCACGATGTGCTCCATCACTTGCTTGATACGCAGCATGCCTTGGTCCCGGCTGGCTTTGGACTCCTGAAATTTGACCAGCTGGTTGGAGACCTTCTGGATTTTGGAGCAGAGAACCCTGTTGGTCTCTGCCAAGGTTTGGTTTTGGACCTGCAGGGCCACCCGTGTGTCTTCCCGTTCTCGGAGCATCTCCTGCAGTTCTTCCTCTTCTTTTTCCAGGTCCTCGACGATGGTTTTGAAACAGTTGACTTTCTCCTCCAGGCTCTTGTTCTCCTCGTTCATGTGCTTCGTCTCCTTCGCGATCTCCTGGTTTTCGAGGTCGAGGTTGGCCGCTTTGTCTCGTAGGTCCCAGATCTCCCTCTTTAACGCTTCCTGGATGTCCATCAGGTGGGACGCTTCAGATTTCTCCATGGGGTGGGTGGGGGAGCTGGGTGAAAGAAGGTCTCGAATTCGGCGCCACTCCTCTTGAGTTCACTGCTGAGGAACAAGCAAAGGGAGAATAAAACCGGGATCAAGCATCATATTCTTAGCATATCCCATCTGCTATTGAATATTTTCATATGGACAGTCATGGTAGCTGTCAAGTTTCCAAAAGATGCCCTAATTAATTCATGAGCCATGATCCAAACTTCAAAGGAAATATATTCATTTATTAGGAGCAACATTCCAGCAATACTTGGATGCAGTTAGGACTGATCCCACGTAGATTTATGTTCCCCTATGACCCTGTTTCTCTCCTCCTCTCTGGCCATGTCATAAATCACATTCTCCAATTAACCACTTTGGCTGGCTGTGAAACCTAACACCCTCCTTCTGATTGCGGTCAGGAAGAATGTATGGAATTCACTTCCGTTCTCCCTCCCTCCTGCTCACGGCAACTTGAAAGCTTTGCAAGTTGACAGTAGGTTTTTAACAGATGAACAGAGTCGGAAGGGACCTTGTAGGTCATCTAGTCCAACCCCCCCCCACCCCAAGCAGGAGACCCTACATCATTTCTGACAGAGGGCAGTCCAGTCTCTTCTTGAAAGCCTCCAATGATGAAGCTCCCACAACTTCCGAAGGCAACTTCTGCTCCGTGGGTTGATGGTTCTCACTGTCAGAAAATTCCTCCTTATTTCCAGGTTGAATCTCTCCTTGATTAGTTTCCATCCATTATTCTTTGTCTGGCCTTTGGGTGCTTTGGAAAATAACGTATAATATAATAATATAAAGTGGTAGTAATCCTTCATGTGATTTTGATTCTATGCCTCTGTTTATACCACCAAGGATTGTTTTGGCTTTTTTGGCTGCCGCCGCACACGGCTGGCTCGTGTTTAAGTGATCGTCTACTTCTAGGACTCCAAGATCCCTTTCACAGTTACTGTTTTTGAGCCAGGTTTTGCCTAATCTGTACTTGTACCGTTGGTTTTTTCCCTGCCCTAAGTGTAAAACCTTGCTTTTTTTCCACATTATATTTCTTTTTGTTGGATAGGGCCCATTGATCAAGAGTAAAAGAAGTTAAATCAACACATTATTCTGAATTGGGTGAGTGGGGCGGTGGCCTAGACGTGGAGCTCTCGCCTCACAATCAGGAGGCTGTGAGTTCGATCCTAGGTAGAGGCAGATATTTCTCTCTCTGGGCACATAGAATATATCTGCTGAACAAAACTCCGCACTGGCGACAGGAAAGGCATCTGGCCAGTAAACACTCAGCTTCATTCAGTTTCCCAGACTCCATCCCACAAGGGATTAAAGGTAAAGGTTCCCCTCACACATATGTGCTAGTCGTTCCCAACTCTAGGGGGCAGTGCTCATCTGTTTCAAAGCCAAAGAGCCAGCGCTGTCCGAAGACGTCTCCGTGGTCATGTGGCCGGCATGACTAAATTCCAAAGGAGCATGGAACGCTGTTACCTTCCCACCAAAGGTGGTCCCTATTTTTCTACTTGCATTTTTTACCTGCTTTCGAACTGCTAGGTTGGCAGAAGCTGGGACAAGTAACGGGAGCTCACCCCATGATGCGGCACTAGGGACTTGAACCGCTGAACTGCCGACCTTTCGATCGACAAGCTCAGCGTCTTAGCCACCGAGCCACCGCAAGGGATTATTGGGTTGTTAAAAGATGATGATGATGATGATTCTGAATTGAGTCAAAGCATCATCCAAAGTTCTGGATGAGACGCTTGTTTATTGGGAGATCAGAGAAACCATCATTCGGCCTACTCACCGAAGGATCTTCAATATCCACGTGAGAAATGGCCTCTCCCAAACAGCCCAGCATCAACCAGAGCTGAGTCCAAGCCCAACTGTCAGAAACTGCATCACAGTTGATGTCACAATCCACAATCTCCAGCCAATCAGGGCCTTTCGTGGGCCGCCTCCTTCCCAGAGGCTCTATCGCACAAAGGAAACACACACTCACACTCAAGCAGTGGAAAGGAGTCTTTTAGTGCAAAGTCTATAACGATCAGAAGTCACATGCTAAAGACTACGCGGGATGGGGTGATTGATTGATTGGTATTTGGAGACCACCCATTGAAAGATGGCTTACAATTAAAAATGTAAGAGGAAAATCCGCAACGTTGAGCCAAAATAAAAAGAACCACACACTCCAGAAAACGTACAGCATTTATTAGATTTTTTTAAAATCCCTCCTTTATTATTTTATAAGTAACCAAAAGCGGTGAACATGCCTAATATTCCTTCTTCCTCTTATTTTACCAACAACAACAATGGAAGGATTGCCAGCGAGGAAGAACAGGCTCAGGACGACCGATAAGACGGGGAAAGAGAGGACAGGGAGTGGAACAGAGGAGTTATGGAGCTCTGGTGACGAGCAAGGACCGCCCCCTCCTGATCCCCAAACACGGAGAGTGGAGAGGAGGCGGGAGCAGCACAGGCTGACCTGACAACTCGGGAGGAAAGCGCCCCGCCCCTCTTCACAAGACTCACTTGGAGACTGAGACTTAAGGAGACGCTGTTGGGAGGGGCGCTTGTCGGGAACAAATGTTGAATTCTTGGAGCCTTGAGTGCCATTGCCGATGTCTGGAGTTTGCTGTGCTTCGTTTTGTGTGCCTTGCCCGGTTTGCCTGCCTCACTGGACTTCTTGCCTTGTTTGCCACTTTGCTAACTTTATTTGCTGGACTACTCGCAGCCAGAGTCTGTTGGAGGTGCGTGTGAGAGCTTTTGCTCCAGGCAGGACTTGCAGGAAATGTGGGAATGTTTGGGGGAAAGTTGGAGCAATAAAGGGGGAGTTTGAACTGTTCTCTGGCTGTGTTTCTTCCGTGCCTCGCCCCGGATCATCACAAGGTCCGTTTATTGATGAGCAGAATCACAGCATGCAGTTCTGGGACAGCTGACAAATTAGCTTGATGAGTGCAAGGATTTTTATACAGTTTCTGAGATGCTTCAGGGGGTTGTGCAATGCAATGAGCTCTGTGTCTTTTGCTATTCTGATGGGGGGGGGGTTAATCCTATCATGTCCTGTTCTTAGAATTTGGGTGGAGCAGGATATTTTATTGTACATTTTAATCCCACGGCTGGAGGTAAAAAGTGTTGTGTTTGTGAATAGGTTGGCCTGGATTTCTTAATGGGCACAAAATCTACATCTCTAAGGACTTTGGGCATCTGCTGAAAGGCTATTAAGAAAGACTGGGGGCTGCTTTCTGCCTCTAAGAACATGTTTCTCCATTTACCTTTTGGTGGAATATTTAGAATAGAAAACTGAGTTGAAAGGGACCTTGGAGGTCTTCCAGTCCAACCCCCTGTTTAGGCAGGAAACCCTATGCCACTTCAGACAAATGGTTATCTAATCTGTAAAAGCGTTGCGACTTCAATTATGCAGGAATGGTGGTTATCTTGGCTTTTTTTCACTCTGCCCCCAGTTAGATGGAGTGGGGGTGGGGTCTCTGGGCTGCTATTTGCCTCCCCCCATGCGTTCTGCCCCAGCCACGGACCCCAAAGAACACAGCACACACAAAGTCCATTCAAACTGTTGGCTGAAAAAACGTAATCTGCTAGGCTGTTGTCTTGAGCTCCGAGCTTGGCACTTTGGTTGCAAACATTTCGTCACCGTTCGAGGAGACGTCGTCAGTGCGTTTTGAACTGTGCTCGTCATTTGGATGAGAAAAATTCAGAACGCACTGACGACGTCTCCTCGAAAGGTGACGAAACATTTGCAACCAAAGTGCCAAGCACAGAGCTCAAACCAACAGCCTAACTACCAACCCGAGCTACTAATATTGACACACATTTCAAACCTAGTCTGCATTTGCAAACGAGACCAATTGTTTGCTGAGTTAGAATACCCAAAACATTGACCATAATAAACCTGGATAACTTGCGGTGCCCATGGTGGGCAAACCCAGTCTAGCTTAGTGTAGTGTGTGAACTCAAGCACGGAGGGCAGTCGTCTCAGGCAATCCTGGTAGCGAAGGCCTCCCATCCTGGACACGTCCTCTTCCTGCCCAATCACTGTCCTGCTGTTTGAGAAAAGGCCGAGTCTCGCCAACAGCCGGCTGCCATCTTGGTCTTTGCCTTAGGCAGCCCTGCAGGGTGTGGGGGTCTCCCCTGAAGCTGGAACCCCAAACCATTTCTGTGGAGAACTGCACCCCCCTCCAGGGGTGGGCTTCAAAAATTTTAGCAAGGTTTCTCTGCCCGGTTGCTGTGTGGGCGTGGCCATGGTCAGTCTCCTGCACCACGGCAGGGGGGGTGTTTTTGCCCTCCCCGGGCTCCAGAGGCTTTTCTTGGGAGGGCGAAAACAGCCTCCCCAGGCTCCGGAGGCCCTCTGGAGGCCAGAAACAGGCCTGTTTCTGTCTTTCCCGAACTTCCTGTAGGCCCTGTTTTCACCCTCCCCGAGTGTGTCGTGCACTTACCTGCATCCAAAATGGGCTGCGTGGGGACTCCTGGGAGGGGCAGGGTGGGCTGGGGCGGGGCCAGCCAGGAGTGGGATTTGGGGGTTCTCAATAGGTTCTCTCTTTGCTAGAGGTTCTCCCGAACCCCTGCGAACTCCCAGCAGCCCACCCCCTGCCTCCCCCCCCCAGAGGAGAAGGGTGGACACGTCCAACACAATTCGCCTTCTTTTTATTATTGCTTTTCCTTGGAGGTGACTTCTCGTGGGGTCTCCCCTTCTTTCTTCTTCCCCGTTTTTTTGGGGCAGAAGGGGTTTTCTTCGGGCGCGTCTGGTGGCCTTTCTCCACGCCGTTTTGGTCCTCAAAGAGAGCCACTTCCTGGGACAGCTTCCGCAACTCCTTGTTGAGCTGGTTGTTGGAGTCGATCAAAGCGAACTTCAGGACTTCCAGCTGGTTGAGCTTCTGGTAGGCGTCCTCGGCTCGTTCTCGCATCGCTTTGACTTTGCCTTGCATTTCCTCCATGGCATTCTTGAAACTTTCGACCGTGTCCTGCAAACTCTGGCTCATGGTCGGGATTTCGTCTGGGCTCCTGGGCTCCGCGTTCAGATTCGCCGCTAAATGTCGCTAGAAATTGTCTTTTATTTTCTTCTTCTGGGGAGCTCCTACGGGCTGTGGGGTTTGGAGAGACGATTTGTAGAGGCTGCTGACAAGCTGCGGGGGGACACAAATAGGACACTGACACACATACGCACCCACAGAGGCATGGAATCTACCGCTACTAAACTACACAAATATCTTCGTACACCTGTAACTGCAGTCCGTAAGTTTGAATCCTCTCTTAGCCATGGAAGCCAACGAGGGTAGGGGTGGGATAATTTAACAACAAGTTCTCTGCCCTAATGACCGGCTGGGTGGGCGTGGCCTATGGTGGGCGTGGCCCAGGGGTGTGACAGGTAGCACTCCGCCTCTGATGATGGCGCCGCTCAGCCGGGATCGTCAGAGGCTTTTAAAAGCATTTTTTTTTCTACAACCTCTTCGGCTTTTTTTTCTTTTAAAAGCCTCTGCCGATCAGGCAACTCAGCTGGGATGGTCAGAGGCTTTTAAAAGCATTTTTTTTGGCCGAAGAGGTTGTAGAAAAAAATGGTTTTAAAAGTAAAAAAAAAAAAAAAAAAGTTGGCCACACCCACCCAGTCACATTAACCCCACCCCCCCATCAAGCCACGCCCACAGAACCGGTAGTAATAAATTTTAGATTTCACCACTGCTTTAGATCGAGCGTCCTCCTTCGTCCCTAGGAAGAAGGCGGCATGGACAAAGGACTTCTGAAATGTTGCCGTTGTGTGAATCAACTTCCCTGGCTTCCCTGACTACAGGTAGTCCTCGACTTACGACAGTTCATTTAGTGACCGAGGTTACAACGGCAACTGAAAAAAAGGGACATATGGCGAACCCAAAAGGTGCTTTTTCAAGAGGCAACTGGACTCGCTTCCCAAAAAGCATCTTGAAAAAGCACCTTTGACCTGAATGACCGAGAATCTCCATAGACATTTGACTTATGACTGTTTTTCACACTTATGACCGTTGGAGCCTCCCGGTGGTCACGGGATGAAAATTCGGATGCTTGACAACGGGTTCATATTTATGACGGTTGCAGCATCCTGAGGTCCCGTGATCCATTTTTGCGACCTTCTGACAATGGGCAACCCGGATTCACTTAACAACCATATTACTAACTTAACAACTGCAGGGAATTCACTTAACAACTGCGGCAAGAAAATGGGACAAAATGTAATTTCTCACTTAGCAGCATAAATTCTGGGCTCAGTTGGGGTCGTAAATTGAGGGCTACCTGTAGATATATCCCTGCCTGGGGTCGTTGCCATGGTATTCAAATGCTGCCCACTTTCACAAAAAGCCAAACACAGGCCTAGTTTGCTTCCCGATAGTCTGTTCGTTGTTGCTGTTAGTATATTTTTTGGGTGCTTGTTGTCACCTGGGATCAGACCAGGGTGAAATCCAGCAGGTTCTGACAGATTCTGGAGAACCGGTTGCAGAAATTTTGAGCAGTTTGAAGAACCGGCAAATATCACCTCTGGCTGGTCCCAGAGTGGAGTGGGAATGGAGATTTTGCAATATCCTTCCCCTGGAGTGGGGTGGGAATGGAGATTTTGCAGTATCATTCCTCTGGAGTGGGATGGGAATGGAGATTTTGCAATATCCTTCCCCTGGAGTGGGGTGGGAATGGAGATTATGCAGTACTTCCTCTGGAGTGGGGTGAGAAGGGAGATTTTGCAATATCCTTCCCCTGGAGTGGGGTGGGAATGGAGATTTTGCAGTATCCTTCCTCTGGAGTGGGGTGGGAATGGAGATTTTGCAATATCCTTCCCCTGGAGTGGGGTGGGAATGGAGATTTTGCAGTATCCTTCCTCTGGAGTGGGGTGGGAATGGAGATTTTGCTGTATCCTTCCTCTGGAGTGGGGTGGGAATGGAGATTTTGCAATATCCTTCCCCTGGAGTGGGGTGGGAATGGAGATTTTGCAGTATCCTTCCTCTGGAATGGGGGGGAATGAAGATTTTGCAATTATCCTTCCCCTGGGGTGGGGTGGGAATGGAGATTTTGCAGTATCCTTCTGCTGGAGTGGGATGGGAATGGAGATTTTGCAATATCCTTCCCCTGGGGTGGGGTGGGAATGGAGATTTTGCAGTATCCTTCCTCTGGAGTGGGGTGGGAATGAAGATTTTGCAATTATCCTTCCCCTGGGGTGGGGTGGGAATGGAGATTTTGCAGTATCCTTCTGCTGGAGTGGGGTGGGAATGGAGATTTTGCAATATCCTTCCCCTGGAGTGAGGTGGGAATGGGGATTTTGCAGTATCCTTCCCCTGGACTGGGGTGGGAATGGAGATTTTGCAGTATCCTTCTCCTGCCACACCCACCAAGCCATGCCACACCCACCACGCCACGCCACGCAGAACCAGTAGTAAAAAAAAATTGGATTTCACCACTGGTGGGTTGCCCCTGGTTCGGACCGGTTCGCAAGAACTGGTAGTAAAACCGGCGGGAGGCTCCGCCCACCAACCCGAATGTCATCAGGAAGTTTCTGCGCACGAGCGAAGCAAGCGTGCGTGCACGGCCTATTGCAAACCTGTAGTAAAGGTAAGTAGAACCCACCAGTCGTAGGATTCAGCCGGTTTGCACCACTTCGGGAGAACCGGTTGTTAACTTTCTGAGCAATTTTGGTGAACTGGTTGTTGGAAGAAATCATTAAGGCAGAGAACCGGTCGTTAAATTATTTGAATCCCACTCTTGGATCATACCACTAAAATTTTAGAGCAAATGTCTCCACAACTTGGGTGTCCTCCTGGACACACGGCTGTCTTTAGAAGAGCATATGACGGGCGTGGCCAGGGGGGCTTT